TAAGAGACAAAGCTGAAAAAAACTAATTTTTAATGATACTGCATTCGAATCCTCATCTACAAATTTAGAATAAGTGTCATAATATATATTGGGCTGTGAATATTCGAGAGCGCAGGTTTGTTTTCAAAAATGCTTGTAAATACATATGTGCGCTATTTTAATGCAACCACGTTCTATCAACTGTTTTTTTCACCTGATCTATATAAATTTACTATTTTAAAACTAAATGAAATTTTTAGCAAAGCAAGCACAAGGTGCTAAATTTATGAGTCACAGTGTGATTATTTGTAACGATAAATCAGAAAAAATTGATACAGTATTTATTATGCCATACTATTACATGAATTAATGGTCCTATGGGACCGCAAAAAATTCTTATCGCATAAATTTTGTCCTCCCTGACAGCCTTCAGAGGCCATCGGAGCATAGTTAATTAATAGTTAACTAATATTTTTATATTTTTATAATAACGATAGCGATCACTTAATATTCAGATCTATCAGTTCGAATGTGCAATAAAACCTTGACTGGCTTTAATAATCAATAGCCTGTATTAAACTTTATGTGGTGTCACTCTTCCGCATAATTAATTCTCACAGTCAATTTTTTTATTAACGAATATTATGATTAACTAGACTGTGCTTTTCTTATTATATAAGATTCCGCGATAAGAATGGGACTTAAAAAGGCTATAAGGGCAATGAGTATAACGTTCTTAATCAATAGTTTTATCAAAATTCATATGTTACAGGGACTTCGAATCTTCATCATCTCCGAGATCATCAGATCTAAATCCACCTTAAGCGATCATCGAATCTAAAGGAGGTTAATTTTACCAGAAAAAATAACAAAATAGATTCAGCATTTGGAACTTATGACCGAATAGACTTGCTTTATGGAGAAAAAAAACTGGTGTTGGATTTGGATAACGTAATTACTAATCATATAATTTTTTTCTAGCAAGTTTTTTGATCTAGCAAATGGACGGTATAAAAATAAGCAAGTTCCCTGCCTATAAGTTAGCAATAACGTTATTTTTTGCTTATATATATTTTTAACTTGATTCACTTACCGAATTTTTTTTAAAAAAGTAATGTTTTTGCCATTTAACGGAGACTATGAAGACGAATTTTTACTTACTATGATTTTTTGTATTCAGAAACAAAAAATAAGCACTAACAATGGCACCACCCCCAAGACCAACAACACTACCACCCCCAAGACTAATGATAGCACCACTGCCAAGACCAACAAGAGTAATGCCCAAACTTTATCTAAACCCAAACCCAAACCTCAAAACAAGCTGAAAGAAAAAATATCTCATAAGTAAACTCTGTATTACATAATTATTTACTATGCCTATCAATTAATAATTCTCAGGAGTAAGTTTTTCATTGTTTTTAATTAGGATATGAATTAGGGTATGAATTAGATAATTACGATATTAAAGAAATAGAAAGATATGAACATATCTCTGACCGCCTTCGTAATGATGTGTTCTCCAGTTACTGATGCTAATTGTAGTGATTAGGAAAGATATGATTAGAGCGAGATTGATTGATATAGAAATTTTTTTTTTATTTTTTATATATCTTTACTTCGGTAAAGTTTTTATATTAATAAAGCAAGATTCCGGGCACGAAGTGCCATTATTTCGAAACATGATATTTTGGGTCCTAAGGGCTTCATTTTTTATTTAACGTGATCGTGTAGGCAAAAAAATAGTCAAGATTTATTTCGGTAGAAATGGTACTTTATGCCTAAAATTGATTATGATACTTATTTGCAAAGACCCATCTACAATCATGCTTTCACTGTTATGCTCTTATCTGGAAACTTTAGAGTATGGTTCCATATGATTGGCTGGTTAGAAATTGCAATTTCAGGATATGCTTTTAGTACCTCATCGAGTGAAATCTCTGGCCATTTTAAATTAGTGCAATGTAAATAATATATCTTTTTATTTCAGAATGCGGATCACTTTGCCAAGAAAATTTTTGGTAATATGCTAGTAATATTTATCATTAATAATACTATAAATAAATTCATGAATATATATGCAAAAGTAAACTAATTATTTATAGACAGCACACCTCGTTCTTTCTTCCTTAGTCATTTTTAGAGCCTCAGAAATCCCACGCATAAGTTCAGCTCTCTCACTATAAAACTCTGAGATCTTTCTTCTAAGATCAGTGATCTCAATATTCTCCTTCCTAAGCTCTGCATTCTCAGCCTCAAGTTCAGTGATATGCTGTTTTAATAATTCAAACTGGATAACATGATCTATATAACTAATACACTGTGTATAAGCATTCAAAATAAAAAAAAATATCCTGTTTTTTTTCCTCATGGCCCCGTAAGCGAAATTTGCCAAAATTTTTTATTAATACAGTACATACGAAAAATAAATACAAATGTTCAGGATCTAGCCTGTGATACATGATGTCTATACTATTGTTTGTAGACTAATGTCTGGGTAAAAAATTTCACGCTCTATTACTTTACCAAAAAATTCTCGATTATACATGAGTAACATAAATACAATAAAATAAATTCATGAAATATACAGTATTAACCTTGCTCCGGAAGAAGTGTCATCTCTATTTTTAAAAAAATATTATAACGTTCATCGAAACAATCCTTACAAATATGAACCAGCTTCTTCCAATATTCCGGATCTATGATAAAGACTAATCACGCTTCTTCACTTTTACCATATCTATAATAAAATTTTTATTATTATTAGATGATTCAGAGTCAGACTCAGATTCAGATGAAGATGAGGATTCGAATGCAGTATCATTAAAAATTAGTTTTTTTCAGCTTTGTCTCTTAAAATTTTCTTACATGATGTACGATTTCTTCGAGAAATATCTGGATTTGCTATTGAGTTTATAATATCTTGCTGAATCTCAGGTTTCACTATCTCCAATAATCGGTGAAGAGAGATCCAGATTTTTTTACCCGATACTTGCCTAACAATACTAGATATTGCATCATTAATATTTTGAGATTCATGGTTATTCCCATTAATTTTCATTTTAGCAAATTCTTTAATTATAGTTGAGATGTTAACATCAGAATTAATATTATTTTCAGTCATTGTCTATGTTAAATTATTTATTAATACGCAATAAAAAATATATAGTATTAAATATATTTAATATTTGACATGGTTTTCATAAAAACACTCGTAGAAGGAAAAATCCTTAGCTTTATTGATATAAAAAATAAAAACAAAATATGAAATAAAAATATACATATTCAGAAATTTTTTATCTAAAAATTTTTTGGCGGAGAATATGTTGTCAACATCATTGATGTTGATGGAGTCTGATCTTCAGTTACTGGCAAAAGACTAATTTCGTCCTTCACATCAACAGACATTGCAATAATTTTTTCCACCATGAACCTCATTTTAAGGGTGTTCTTTAAAAATTCTTCAACTATCGGCCGTGAGGAAATATGTAATGGTATAACTAACTCAGAGATTCAGAAAACCCGATAAAAATCATCTTCAAATAAGTCTAACGCAGAAATGATCACACGATCTCATATTACTTGGATACCTAAAACAGGAACTTTCCCTAACTTGACATTTATTGATCTGGCTATATTGGTAGTATCATCCTTCCCATCAAAAAAAACATTATATCATTCATTAAAACAATCTTTGCAAATACGTACCAATTTTTTCTAGTCGATAATTTCTTTATCTTGTTGAGGCAGTAATCGTAAAACCTCAGCAAGTACTATTTCATTTTCCACTGTGTCAAGCTTTAACAAAACTTGTAGATCCGGCTTCTTTTCTGAATTCGTGACTTTCATTCGTTTCGTGATGACTTGTTTGTCTGCTCAGACCTATACGTATTAAAATTTATGTATAGCATTTAGCGGGTATTTACATATTTATAATGATCATTATAAAAATAATTACAGTATATATATTACTATGCACGTTTTACATGCAACTCTTTTCGCTGATCCTTTGAACACAAATTCAACATAAACAAAAAATCAATAAAACACATATTTCGTTAAAGAAAACACAGTTCGCAGTACTAAGTAAAAAGAAAGAACACACAAAATAACATCTAGTCTCTTAGGAGATGAAGATAAAAATGTTAAGGCTTTGGATGAAAAAGAAAAAAAACGGCAAAAAACCAACACAATTTCACCCTTTGCAAGTAATTTTTGGAAAATTGCACTTGACCCTATACTGCAGATCTGTTGTTGTTATATAAATAGAATACGCGTTGAGGAATAAACAAAATAATCTAATTGTAGATTATATAATAGATGTAAACAGAGAAACGGCAATTCTTGGTTAGCGAGAGTATATATAGCCACACATACAACTTTTGGTCGCCTAATTTAAGTAGTCCGTCCGAAGGTTCTACACTATATACCATACCTGTAATCTAACTAGATGATTACCTATTTAAACCCTCTGACGTCTCTGATCCTGCACCACCACCACAATCACACCAATCCATAACCTCGTGCTGCTTCTTATTGAAAACTATACAAATCGACATCTGCTATACTACTTATACCCTAATTCTATAGATAACCCAGTAGGGTTTTCATACTACCAGGTTGCTCTAAGGAGGGTGTAGTACATATACCCTAATCTTTCTATGTCCTACGCACTTTCAGATTAGGCTATGAATATCTTCTGCAGCAGCCGAAACCACTACTAGCAGTCAGGGCGAACTATTAAACTGCACAATTCCAGTATTCGGTGTCTTTACAAGGTTCATTCCAATCCCAATACACATATCAAGCCAGTCCTTATACCAATCCCTTCCCAACTACCAAACCAGTTAGCCCAGACGGATTGTTGTACTTAGGCTTTAAGTGTCTTCTGGTTTTACTTCTCTTGGTTCCTAATTCTATAGCATAGGACCTTTTCCTCCGGTATGACTCCGGTGGTCAGGTTGGTGGATCCTTCTTGCCCCAGGGTTTTCATCCGGTTCTTTGGTCACCAGTTTCCGACTTTTCTGCAGTATCATTAAAGATCTTCACTACCTCCTTACTTGGGTCTTCCAAACAGGTTTCAATTATTCTGGTTCCTTAGACGGATACAGGATGTAGATGAGAATTTCCAGATCATGTAATTAAACAATCTCCGGACTAGATTAGGGTCACGTGATCACATAGGCACTTTTCTATTACATGAATCAACAGATTGGCAGATAAGTTTTTATTATTTTAGATTAGATCTGCTTTTTTTTTTCTTTATATTTACTGCTGCTTCTCTTTCTTCCGGGTGTGATTCCGCTGTTGGAGCCGTCGTTACTGGAGATTTCAGTTAAGTTTTTTGTTTTGTGTCTTTTTTTTTTTTATTCTTATATATTTACTACTGCTTCTCTTTCTTTTAGATTTCGCCGTTGGAGCCATTTATTGGAGTCGCCATTTTCTTCGCCTCGGGGCGGTTATATATTTGCTTCTCTTCTTTCGGGTGTGATTTTGCTTTTTTTTTCTTATATATTTATTTCTGTTTTTTTTTCTTCTGGGTGTGATTTCACTGTTGAAGCCGTCATTACTGGAGATTTCGTGTAAGTTTTTCGTTTTGTGTCTTTTTTTTTTTATTATATATTTACTACTGCTTCTCTTTCTTCCAGAGTTGATTTCGCCGTTGGAGCTGTTTATTGGAGTTGCCATTTTCTTCGTCTTTGGAGCAGTTATATATTTGCTTCTCTTCTTTCGGGTGTGATTTCGCTTCTTTTTTTTTCTTCTGTGTGTGATTTCACTATTGGAGCTGTTGTTACTAGAGATTTCGGGTAAGTTTTTCATTTTGTATCTTTTTTTTTTATTATATATTTACTACTGCTTCTCTTTTTTCCAGGTTTGATTTCACCGTTAGAGCCGTTTATTGGAGTCGCCGTTTTCTTCGTCTTGGGGCGGTTATATATTTGCTTCTCTTCTTTCGGGTGTGATTTCACTTTTTTTTTTTTTCTTATATATTTATTTCTGTTTTTCTTTCTTCTGGGTGTGATTTCACCGTTGGAGCCATCATTACTGGAGATTTCGGGTAAGTTTTTCGTTTTGTGTCTTTTTTTTTTTTATTCTTATATATTTACTACTGCTTCTCTTTTTTCTGGGTTTGATTTCGCCATTGGAGCCATTTATTGAAGTTGCCGTTTTCTTCATCTTGGAGGCGGTTATATATTTGCTTCTCTTTTTTCGGGTGTTTTTTCGCTTTTTTTTTTTTTTTATTTATTTCTGTTTTTTTTTCTTCCGGGTGTGATTTCGCCATTGGAGCCATCATTACTGGAGATTTTGGATAAGTTTTTCTGTTTGTCATTTTTTTTTTATTTCTGAATCACGTGATTCACTGACTTCCGGGCTAGCTTA